TAAACGGAACTAAAAAATATTCCGCTTAGCAAGCACAGTAAAACTCTTTTAAGTGTTCATAAACAAATCTCGGACTAGACATCAAAATTAATTATCTCTGCAAAATATATCGCAAACGTTATTGCGCAATACGTGAGCCGTGAATTACGTGATATTACGCAATCGGAATCAACAGCTACCGGTATTGGGAGAATAAAGAACTAAATAATTGAGGTGTTTTTGATTATAATTTTCATCAGACGGTGTTAAATTTCCAGAATAGAATCATTCTTCGCTTGGGTTGGTAGACCGCAGAACTTTTAGTCCTATTCAATCCAGATAGGAAAGTGGCCAAAAAAAAAAGTCCGTTGCTTGTTTTGCAGCGAATATTCAAGATTTTGCGGAGAAAGGGGAGAACCTCCCAACCTTCGTACTGTATCATGTATTGGCCAAAAAAATGAAATTATTTTGACTATTTGATTACTTTCCCTTATTTAAGCCATTCCGAATATTATTCCTTAGAAAGCTAATCTGTGTTAAAAACACAACAATTTTTGGATGTTTACTATACTTCAGCAGTTTACTGCAACTATGTTTATTATAAACATTCATACATATACTCAATAATATAAGCATAACGATCATAATAACCACGTGAATATGAACTGACCAAGCGGAACGAGAATGCTAATTATTAAGATCTTGATATAAAATTCAAACATCGTGTAGTATTTGGGTGGGAAGAAAAGAGACATGCCGAATGTACCAGAAATTTTCTACTGCTTTCGCAATTCTTTGACCAACAGAACGACGGGCACCTGTCTGTACTCTCCGCACACACCGAAAGTTATGTTAATGCAGAGAAAGGGGGAAAAGCTATTTCCGGGAGTATGATTCACCATCTGATATTCCATATTAGGAAGAAAAGTTGTTTATTTAGTTTCGGCTTTGGTATGGGAAAAAATTGCGCGTTTATTTAAAAAAAAAAAAAAAAAACACTAAAAGCAAAAAAATAAGGGCTTTAAAGAAAAAGTAAGCACCTATAAGGGCCTTTATATTTTATTTTCAAATATAAGGAGTTATAAGCACTTATAAGCACCGCTACGAACCCTGCCCTACAGAGACCTTTGAAATATATCTCATTTCATTCAGTCAAACTCCTGATAAAAAAGAAGGTATGCCTCCAGGACAAAGCAGAGAGTACTGTGACACTCTGCCAGTAAGCCATGGGCCTCACTGCTTGAGGATACACATTTGATCCCAGATTTTCGTATCATTGCAGCTATGGCACTTTTCTGCCTTACTACAGGCCATGACAGCCCGTGTACTTTTTGTATTGGCTTGGGCTTTGTGATTCTCCCTTATGTCCTCTGTGTGGACAACATCAAATTTTTTACGTAAAATTCAGTACAAATTTTGTAATTTTTTTATTAAATGGTAGCAATTCTGAAACTACAATTATACAAGTTTTATCTGGCAACAGTTAAAAACCTTCCGGTTACGAAACCGGCACTAGAGGCACTGTTAATCAAAATAGTGCCATACACGCAGGAGAAAGCATAATGTGCTTTCGAATATGCCATAACATAATTATTTATTATTCAAAGACATTTTTGCATGAAATTTAGTAAAGAACGACATCATTATCACAACATCTAATAGAGGGATGCTTGTGTAAGAAAACCAGCTGAAAAACGTACAGCGTTCAAAACCGAGTCACTGAAAAAAATTCATGAAACGTTTTTATGAAATCCCACAAAATCAATGCGTCGTGCAAGTTTTGAAATCAGTATGCCTCGTGTAGCAGAGTGGCAGGCATGTAAGAAGATAAAGATATCTGAAAGAAGATAAGCAACATTTTATTTACGTTTTATTAACAGCCATATGTTGATTTTTTCTTACATACTTGCTCAGTCTAGAGGTTTAGTATAGCAGGTAGATTTTACGTCAAGTGGCAGAGGTTAAAATGAGAAGTAAGATCATAATCAGCATAATTCAGAACAAAAAACTGGATGTTGTCACTGCTGTTGCTTGCTTAGAGATACCTCCTGATCAGAACAAACCTGAAAGGTCTGATGTAGGCATGGTTGGCAAGTTTTGAAAGTTAGTTGGGCCCTGTCTGACGTAGTTAGTGTCGTACTTCATGTAGAGTTCCAAGAATTGTAACCCAGTTAATATACTTTAAGGTTCCAACAAGCCACTAAAGCACCACAAGTGATAAGTTGTTTTAAGTCTCACTAGATGGAAAGAATAAGTTTTACATGAATTTTTACAATTTTGCGTTTTACATTGTGACCACAGTAAGGATTAATGAAAGGCAATACCTGTCTTTAATATGCAGAGATAATTTTTAAAGCTAACCAGTTAGTTATAAATAATTAAATTGGATACTTAGATAACTTTAGTCATTAGGGATTTACATGGCCACTATAAAATTTTATTTATTTTTAACAATATTTATTAAAAACACCCTTTTAAAATCAATCAAATAAATTTTGAAGTTTAAAAATTTACTTATATATATAGGAGAGATATAATCAATTAATCAATATTGTTTCGGAAATAAATTATATATATGTGTATATATATATATATATATATATATGCGGTTTACCAGAAAGTTCTGTCCATTTTTGGAATAAAACAAAACAAACTTTTCTTACCATCAATAAACATTATTAAAATAATATTATTTCTATTATTATTAATGACTTCTTGCTAGCACGAGGGCAATTTGTATATTCATTTTTAAAAATGATGTAACTTTTGATGCAAAAAATTGAGCTGGCGCTTGTTTGATATCTACTTCATTTTTGAATTTTTTGCCCTTCAAAAAAGTCTGTAAGAACAAAAATCAGTGATAGTCAGAGAGTGCTAAATCCGAGGAACATGGTGTATGTGACAGAATTTTTCAGGCTAGTTCTGCAATTTTTTTATGAGTCCCCAAAGCAGCATGTGGCCTGGCATGATAATGATGCAGTACAATGTCCTTCCTGCTGAAAATCGCCAGCCTCTTTTCTTGGACTGTTGTCTTTAAATTGTCTAACTGCTGACAGTACTTCTTCGAATTCACCTTTTAGTTTGGTTTTAAAAGCTTATAATGTACTGGTCCTCGAATACCCCACCATATACACAACATTCTCCTTATTCAGAGTCAAATTTGGTTTAGAGGTGGGAGGGCTAGGTTTTTCTGGGTTCACAATATGCCCTTTCCCTTACGATGTTTCCGTCAGTGATCCACTTTTCATTCCCAGTTATCATTCGGTTCAAGAAGGGCTTCATTTTGTTCGAAGCAAGCAGAGATGTGCATAAGATGACTCGACCCTCCAAATTCTTCTGACTTAATTCATGGGGCCCCCATCTTGAATATTTCTACACCAAATATGGTTCGAAATAGTTTGCTGAGCTGAATTAAGCCTTTCTGCAATCTTCGATATTGTCACAAAAGGATCTTGCTCCAACATGGGTGTAACAAAACCGTCGCCGATCAAAGATGATTGTCCAGAGCGTGGCTTATCAGAAAGTTCGAAATCAAATGTTTCAAAATTTTCAAACCATCTTCTGTATGCCTTATCAGAAACTTAACCAAACACTTTCAATAAATTTCTACATGCTTCTGTAGCACTTCATCCTTGTTGAAATTTGTATAAAATATAGTGGCTTAAATGAACTTTATCAGCGGCCATGGGTACACTATTGCTTCACACTTAAGACTAACGTGAATCAACTTTATTTTAGTTAAATTGCTACTCCAGTATGTATACATTAAGCGATAAAAATAGAGAGCCGAATATACGGCAAATAAACATGTGCTTATGTGCCGAAAATTGTCCTAAAAAGAACATAATTTTCCAATAGACTGAATATATATATATATATGAATACAAAAATGAACATTGCCAAAAAGTTTATTTGAAGTTACTTCTAACTCCTATAACGATTATGTAATTGTCAGCAACAGTAGTTGTGAGTTTTTTTACACATTATCATGGATATGGAATACACAATTAAAAAATAACTGAAGTGCATTTTGTGAATTAGGCTAGTCATTAAAATTCCTCCTTACATACAAACTTTGCATTTGTAACTATACTTGGGAATTTAAACAAAAAATTGAGCAAGTAGCCTTTAAGAAATATTTTACATTTTCGGAATGAAATAAAAATTTTTGACTCATCACAAAACAAATATCAGTAAATGGCATTATATCATGTACATAAAAGTTATTAAATAAATATATGGATAGAAATATAACTATTTACAAGAATAAAATCAAATATATACAACAGATCATTACAAAGAATGGGACTTCTCTGCACGTTTTTTCTCTTCAGCTTTTAGAATCGCCAGAGTCGAGATAAAAGTGATTTACTTAATAGCCATCACTGTTCTATTATCTTCCAATACTAACAATAAAGTTTAAAACGAAAAGAGTCTGAGCGCTACAAAATACAACATGGAAAAGCAATCATCACTTGAAAGGAAACATCACTTACGCCAATCTGAGCGGTAAGTGATTTTTGTTTGGCTTTCAGCCTGTTTACCAAGTGAAGATGGTAACCCGATTTCGCGGAAGCTAACTTCACAGAGTTGTTCCTTTAAACGTTATGTTCTGGCAACAAATATCGTATGTGATAGCGGTTTTACAGATAAATACAAGTCAGGAGAAATGTATTATAAACTGGGTTATAAGCATAGTTGAAAGCTGAATTCCTGCTGCATAAATCAGGAGAGGTAAGTAGTCAGAAATTAAAATATATGTAAAATAAATGCATTTTCCTATACAAATTTTTAAATACACTTATGTATTTTTTGTTTATTCCACTTTTTTATCCAGACTAAATCTAATAATTTTTTTGTCTTTAGAGCCTGAAATATGCATATCTCTAAAATTCACAACTTAATGTTGAGTGACTTTTAGAGTTTACTAGTTAAATCTATGTCACTCCTTTTAGTCTTTTATTTTGGAAACATTTAATGAACTGCGTTTTGCAAAACGATACATAAAATAAATAACTTACTTTTTTGAAGAGGTATATTTATTTGCAACTAAATATTCAGCAGCTGCTTGAAAATCATCAAATACATTTTGCTTGTTGAACAATCGACCACCATCATGCCATTTTTCTCCATATTCTCTATATATAGAACAAAAACATTTTATATAAAAAAGATAAAAACTTCAAATTTCGCTCTTTTTCACAATGTTCAATATATAAGAAGCCCCTTTTATATATTTTAGAAAATGTTAACATCAAAAAATGAAACAAATATCCATCTTATTAGAATCAAAATTTAAAAATATATAAATACCTAAATTTTTACTTCCCAGCAGTAAAAGAAAAAAAATTGTTTCTGCAGCATTTTATTTTATTAAAATTACAAAAGCCTTCATTAATTATTATAATTTTATTTAATGTTCAACATACTATTTATTTCCCTTAAAATGCAATTACCAAGAGTTTATCTCCTGCCCATACCACATACGTTAGTTGTCATCTTTTGGATAGTTGCATAATGGAGACCTTTCTGAGAAATACACATTCATTCACATAACCCTTTATGCAGACAGCCCTCAGGATAGTTGGCACTTAATTGCTGTCTCTGAATACTGGAAGTTTTACCCAAGTTCGATCCTAGGAATATTTTGTCATGCTTAATGTGCAAATGAGCCAGTTTTCCTTAGAAAGACTTCGACAAAGGTATACATCTCTCTCAGGTGGATAGACCTTTGTGCTTTGCCCAATTCAAATAATCAAATCTAATCTAACTTAGCCTGAATTCAAGTTGGAATATAATCATCTTCCAAAATCCATTTCCAACGGGTCTGAGAAAATTATTTTTTCCCAATTTGTAAGGCTATAAACTTACTCCTAGCAAATTTCACATGTTTATGTTAATTGGTAGCATTAAATTATCGAGACTTCTTTTCATTACTTATCAATAATATTTTAATTATATATCCTTACAGTAAAATATCATAATAATGGCCACCTGTCAAAAAGACCAGTACAACCCAACTCAGAACACAAAATATGTATTAAAGTAACCTGTAAAATAAATTTTGGGATCAATTTGTACATTTTTTATGCCAAGAAATTACATCTCAAATTTGTTCAACAGCAAAAATATATATTTGAAAAAAAAAAAAAAAAAAAAAAAAAAAAACAGTAATTATATCTTTCACGAGTCATCAATTTTATCTTTTTTTTTTAAAGTATCATAATTTGTCACAGTCTTGATTTGCTATTTACGATACAACACTCATTCAATAATTCATTATAGTCATTATGCACTTTTTAAATTAAAAATTTATTTAGCCAGGACTGCATGACAGATCAATGTTGAAGAGGCCCCCATGCTACCCTAAGTAATTATTGATTTGATTTATTGTGTTTACTGTCTAATAATAACTAGTAGTCACAACCTACGAGGGCTATCCAGAAAGTAGATTACGTTTTGGAATAAAAAAATAAACAAAGTATAGGAAACAAATTTTATTATATACAGATGAAAGCCACACTCAAATACTACTTTTCTACATAGTCACCATACAAATTAAGGCATTTATCGTAGCGATGTACGAGCTTGGAAATTCCTTCGTCGAAAAATTCGGCCGCCTGCGCCTTCAACCACTTCGTTACCTCTTCTTGCAGCTGTGCGTCGTCATCAAAACGCTGCATAGCCAGCCACTTCTTCCATTGCTGGGAATAGGTGGAAGTCGCTCGGTGCCAGGTCGGGACTGTACGGCGGATGAGGAAACAACTCCCACTTAAAAGATTCAAGAACTTTATGAGTGACATTTGCCGTGTGGGGCCGGGCGTTGTCATGAATCAACAAGATCTTAGAGCTCAACATTCCTCTGCGCTTGTTTTGAATTGCTCTTCTGAGTTTTTGGAGAGTTTGGCAATACCTTTGAGAGTTTATTGTAGTGCCTCTTTCCAGGAAGTCCACCAAAATTACACCTTTTCTGTCCCAAAAAACAGTCGCCATCATCTTCCTTGCCGACATTGTTTGCATGCATTTCTTGGGTTTTTTTGGGGAAACTTGTGTGCCCCCACTGCATTGATTGCAATTTCGTTTCACAGTTCACATGTTTCACCCATGTTTCGTCACCAGTAACGATGCGATCGAGTAAAGAGTTACCATCCTTATGGTAAGCGTCCAAAAAGTTCAACGCTGCAGCCATTCGCTGATTTTTGTGGTCCTCTGTCAAGATTTTTGGAATCCATCTTGCACAAAACTTGTGGTAACCATGCTTTTCGCTGATGATTTCGTGCAACGAAATCGAAATTCGTGGAAATTCGCGAAATTTGTGGAAAACTCAAAGAAAGTTCCGTTATTGTGAAATTTCGATTTTCACGGACTTTAGCATCGACTTTTTCGAGAAGTTCGGCGGTCACTATGCTGGGTCTCCCACTTCGATCTTCGTCGTGAACATTGGTTCGGCCATTTTGAAATCTTATGACCCACTGACGCACTCCACCTTCAGTGATAATGTTGTCCCCCATACACTTCACGAAGCTGCCGATAGATTTCTATCGGTTTACAGTTTTTTTTGCAGTCAGAAACCTTATTACTGAGCCAACCTCGCGGGATTTTCAATTACGCAGACAGACATTTCAAACCGTCACAGTATCTGAACGGAGCACAGCACGAACCTTTCACTAGCACGGCTAGATGCAGACTGAGCTGCGCAACGCTCTGACCCCAAGATGGCCGCGCTAGCCCCGCCCCTAGCGGACACAGACGGAAACGTAATCTACTTCCTGGATGGCCCTCATATATAATTTATATAAATTTTACTGTCAGCATTGTACAGTGAGTACTGCGAAATTCTTAGGTGGATGCAGTCAATTACGAAAATGACGCAGACCGTTTGGATGAGAATATAATACAGAATTGTTTTAAAGAAGAAAATGATTATGAATTACATGAAGACAAAAGTACAAATGATAGATTCAAATGCTGAGTGAAAATGAGTTTCAGAGCTAGGACAGCAATTAAGTATTATCACAATGATGCACTTTTTGACATGCATCAGTGTGCAGATAAAAACCTTCAAGTTCAAAAGCATAAAGACACAATTCACTTGAAGTACAAAAACACAATTGAAAATGTATCGTACTGCTTTTTCGTCTACAGAAGTGGAAGAATCTGCTTGAAGAATATGAAATCGCTATTATGTTATTCGCTTAAATGAAGCTGTTAGAAATCATACCATAATAGCAACAAAAAAAGATTTGATTTATAAAATTTAAACTGCTTTTGAAAAGCAAGTAAACCATTTGAGTCTCAATCAGCCCGATCGCACCGTTGAGATTTTATGTCGAGAAAAACCCAGTACATTTCGAAGATTGTGGACAACTGACGGTGCACTTGATAATGATAATGTGGGCACCTGATTTAAATCAACTGCACATTGATGTAAAATAAACAATGCGCGATTGCACCGCTTGGTATTTTTCGACATAAAACAAGTGATATCGAGCTGCTTGGGTCTTTTCGTAATCATTTAGAGAAAGAGCGATTACGTTATTTGGGATTCTTTGGCAGTGTTTTGCAATACCCCCTGGGACACAAACAGTTAATCAAAAAATAAAATTAACGGAGCAGTTAGACAAAACTCAGTAAGGTTAAACATAGCAAAAAGTGTTACAGTAATAACTGTTTCAGAAATTTAACAAATAAATATATGAAGTTTGATTTTTGTATTAATTTTTTCCTCCCTTTACACATAAAATCTGATTTTCATATTTTAAATTATTTACTTTCTTATTCCCTGAAAATTAACAATAGGATAAAATTCCCCCCTCCTACTATGTTATTTACTAATTATTTACCTCGAAATCTGCTCACAATTTTATTAATACTACAATACTAATAAATTGAAAAATAAACCTTCTACTTCAATATCTTCCTGTAACAAATGCCAAAACTTCAAGTTAAAATCCTTATGCAAACTGTTAATAACATGAATGAGTCTTTTTCTCTAAGATCTCCAAACTAAAGTGGCTGTTATAAACAGGTTCCAATGCATATTATTAGCATATTGAATTATTAGTTGTTTTCGAATGTTTTTCTAATAATTTTTGTTTAATGAGATTTTTGTCCAGTTATGAATAATGCAGCTGAAAGTAGTTTTGATGAAAATTTTAGTATTAACAGATCAGGAAGTGGTATGAAAATTTATAAATTTGATTCATCAAATTTATAAATTCATGACTCAATTATGGCCACTGCAAACATTTATTACTAGGTTATGTGTGGCATGAAGATTTTTACTTTGAAGATGATTTTGCAGCTCAACCTTTCCAGTTCCATTACATACAATAAGCAAAATCTACCATTATTCTAAATAAGGTTGTACTGCATTTTTAATACTTTCCTTTCTTTCTCCCTCTGCTTTTGAGCAATTTTTGAATAAAAAAATTGGAAAAAGGCCTGGAAACAACTACATAAATAATTATTGCAAATAGAAGGGATAAGGCTATCAAAATGAACAATGCTATTTTTATGATATAAACAGGCCATTTGACTGAAAAAGAAGACTGCAATAAATATAGAATAAGCTACTGCTATCTTCAAAACAAACCTGTACTGAATAAGACACCCAAGGCACTTGAAGAATACTTAATTTAAAAAAATGTTCATCATAAAAGTTAACAAAGGAATTTAGACATACCCCCCCCCCGAAAAAACACAACCTTCAGCTATTGGGCTACATGTAATTCCCAAAACATGTAGAACTCAAATTCCATATCCATAACAATAGAGAAAAAGTAGCCACAAACATTAAAAACACGTTAGGTTAAAGAAGGATACTCCAGAATGCATTTTCATTGAAAACTAATACACTTCTGCCATTGTTCCTCAAGATATGCTCAATGATATAAAAAACTGTCAAAATTATTCATGTGTCAGCTTTTAAAGGTGCTAAATTGTTAAGAAGTTTACTCTATTTTTGCCTATATAAGCACAGACCTGTCCCACTATCTTCAAGGACTGCAAAAACCCTTGTATTGGTTGATGGTATTTTAGAAAACTTTATGTATTGGTGCAATTTTTTGTTCTAATACCTGAAGATAGTAACTTTGAAACTGATAAATTTGAAAAATTATCTATCTACATAGATTCA